TAACTAATCCTTCATCTTATCAGCTGCTATCATTCCCTGTCACCCATCAATAATGTTCCTGTCCCACGTCCTATATCATACCTTGGAACCAATGTCCCACTGTTACTGTGTCCCGCACTATGGGCTCGGTCACCCTCCCTTCTAAGGCCCCTTATCGAATCTTATCAGGTGCTATCACATTCTATCACCCACCAAAAGTGTTCCCGTCCTGCCATGTATATCACTTCTTGGAACTGTCGTCCTATCTTTTCTGCGACGCTCGCTATGAATTTCGTGACAGACAGACAGACGCACACACACACACACACTTACAGACATACTTAGCGGATTATATAGAGTAGGATCTTTTAACAAATGACAAAAAAAAACGAAGAAAATTCGCATAAGTTCCATAGATTCACGTCTAAAATCTCCTGGAAGGACACCCAGCTTTATGCGGCCGTATGGCGTATCGCCTGGCAGGAGTCAGGTAAGTCTGGCTGTCACAAACCACAATGCCTCTAGCTTTTTTGTCACATGCTTTGTAATGGTGAATGTAGGCGAATGTACTGAACTAAATGGCTCTAGACCTGACTATTTCGTAATTGTTGCTCTGAATAGTAGCCCCAGTCGGCAGTACTGAACTACTCCTACCCCAGTCTTCCATCCGGCCTCTTTTTTCCGACTTTTTTCTACGAGGGCAGATTTGGATGAACATTCGCTTCCAGGTGTAATTCGAATTCCAGAACACTTATATCACATCCGCTTAGCACTGTCTGCTGACCACTTCACCGGCGGTGGCGCCACAACACTCTCGATCACCAATTGATGAGAACTTATGTGCGGGGTTATTTGACATCTTGATCGCGTATATGGAATTTATTCTGTATCCCGGCGCTAATGGGATGCTACGATCGCGCTGTGCTAAGGATGAGCCTAGCCTGAAGGGATTCTTTCCTTCCAGGTCAACCTTAGCAAATTAATGCCATATTCGTGATCAGGGCATCAAACAACCCTATTATGCAAGTTCTTGTCGATTTCGGGGGAAACAGGTGTGGCGCCAACTTGGCGCAGAATGAATGGCGCCAGCATCAAAAATGAGTGTCATAATCGTGATCAAGATGTCAATTAATCAACGTATATGAGGTTTCATTG